CTGGTTGCGTCCATATATATTTTTTTAGGAACAGTTGCAAGGAACGTTTTGTGTCATCCTTCGAGGGCGATGGTAAAACGGGCAACAAAAACGTGTTGAAAAGCGATGTTGCACGTTTTACCTCTCACGTTTGAGCCTATCTTGCAACAAATAAAGGTTCCCAAAGTAGCGTGAATACTGACTTCTGATTGGATAAAGTTACGCGGGAGTCACGCCATACACGGCAGTTACGTCACTTGCTGCAAAACAAGCTTGCCTTGGGCCGGTAGAACGCACAATGTGCACTGATTTTGTTGCAAAAAGTAGAACTACTCTCTACCTTCTGTCATAGCTTTTCCCAACCTGCAACCAGTGGCGGAACCAGGTGAGGAACCCGGGGGCCCGCCCCCCTTATCTAAGGGTCTGGATGACCGCCCCCCCTTATCTCAAGGTCTGGATGCGGCATTGGCAACAACCTGATTTGTTGCCAGACAGTTGAATGTGGGTGGTTTAAAGGCGCAACATCGCTTTTTAACTCATTTTGTCGCAAAATGGCAAAACAAGTTGCACGTTTTCGTTGCCCGTTTAATGATCGTAACTTAAGGGGTATAAGAGAGCTTTAGTAACGAAAAAGGCGACAGCAACAAAAGCATTAATATAAAAATGAATGAACCTTTTCCAATCTTCATCAATGTCAGATCAAACTCCTTTAAAATGGAAAATGCGTTTGAAATTCCTGCAGTTGAATTCCCGGGAAGAGCACCCAATTTTTCACAAAAAATCATTAAACCCTTTGCTATTTGGCGTTCTCTTTGCCATATGATTGTTGTCCACTTTTCCTAAACTACCTAATAACCTTCAAGGACACTAACGACACGACAGAAATGAAGCTTGTACTTTCCATGAACTCGGGTTTAAACAGAGGCGTTAACATCACCGTGGATACTTCCCAAGCTTAACAGAGGTTTTACACTGTCTTTAGATCGTTGTTTGCGATATTTTATGAGTGAAGGGTTGCGAAGTAATGTCACGGCAACGTGCCAGCGGTTCACTGCGGTGACAGACAGGCGCCTGTTGCGTGTATAATGAGCTGAATGTGGGAGGAAAGAAAAGAAATTAGACTTGACCTGGAATAGAATGATGTTTTTAATCAATATTTCAATGAATGTCAGGTAGTATAATATTACGAGCGCTGCTATCCATCGAGCTTTCTTACGAAAGCAAGAAGACGCCTGAGGGCGTTTACGTGGAATGTGTTGGTGTAAGTAAGAATTATGTTGAATGGCATTGGAAAGTTGAGAAGTGCATCAACAACAACTGTGCGCAGGAGAGAGGGAGATGTTCTGTTAAATACACTGGAAGATGAGTTACACACAAGGATTCCTTTGCTCCTCAAAACAAAACTTACGTCAATATTAACACTATATATGTTAAGAGTATGGAGTAGTTCACTAAAATTTGCAATTCGGCATTACTAATATCCTCAATAAATGCACTTGCATATTCAACAATAGCATGTAATGTATCACACTTCCAATAACTACGGGGCGCAAGGCTGTGCTCAAAGGAACATTTTGGGTACCCAGGCCTAAACGATGGTCTCCCAGATCAAATTTTCGGGGAGCCTTTCGGCCTCCCAAACATTTCAGCTGGGGTGCCCGGGCCCCCAAGTCGGTCGCCCAAATTTATAAATCAGTGAGCTGTTAGTTGATTATTGAAAATTAAACAAATTATTTTTTAAAGAAGTCAAGCAGAACTTTTTGTTTTGATTTTTTAAATCACGTCCTTTGACCTCCTGAGCGTGCGAAAGAAAAAAACCGTGAAAGCAATGAAACCCATCAAAGTTTTCGCGCCATATGAGAAACAAGGGCAACGCTGCCGAATAATTCATAATTTTTAAATGAGAAAGGAGACATGGGGGACACAAGAGGCACAGGGAACAGGGAACACAGGGGACACAAAGCGACAGAGGGGACACAGAAGACACAAGGGGACAAAAGGAAACACAGGGAATACAAGAGTACATAAGAGGACACAGGGGACACAACAAGCCAAAGAGGACACCGGGGAACAAGAGGACACAAGGTGACACATGCAAAAAAGGGGCCACAAGGGGACACAGAGGCCAAAAGGGACAGACACAGGGGGATACAAGGAGACACAGGGGACACAGGGGACACAAGGGACACAAGAAGACAAAGGGGACACAAGGGGACACAGGGGACACAAGGGACACAAGAAGACAAAAGGGACACAAGGGGACAGAGAGGACACAGGAGACATAAGGGAACTCGAGAACACACAGGAGACACAAGGGGACACAAGGGACCACAGGGGACACAACGAGCCAAAGGGGACACAGAGGACAAAAGAGGACACAAGGGACCACAGGGGACACAACGGGCCAAAGGGGAAACAGAGGACAAAAGAGGACACAGGGGACACAAGGGACACAATGTAGACAAGGGGCCACAAGGCGACAAAGAGGTCAAAAAGGGACAGAAAAGGACACGGGGACACAAGAAGACACAGGGAAAACAAGGGGAAACAGGACACACAAGGGAACAGGGGACACAGGGAGACACAAGGGAACACAGAAGGACACAAGAAGACACAGGGGACAAAACAGGACACACGGGACACAAGGGGACACAGAGGACACGTGGGGACACAAGGGACACAAGGGAATACAGGAGGACACAGGAAAGAAAAGGGGTCACATGGGACACAAGGGAACAAAAGGGGACACAGCAGACACAGGAGACACAGGGCACACAAAAAGAAACAGGGGACACAGGGCACACAAGGGGACACAGAAAACACTGGGGACACAAAGGGACATAAGGGAACTCAAGGGACACAGGGGACACAAGGGACACAGGGGGCACAAGGGGACACAGGGGACAAAAGCGAACACAGGGGACACAAAAGAACACAAGGGGACAATGGGGACACAAGGGGACACAGGGGACACATGGGAAAACAAGGGACACAGGGGACACAAGGGTCATAGGGGACACAAGGGGACACAGGGGACACAAGAAACCACAGGGGACACAGGGAACACAAGGGGACACAAGGGAGCTCAAGGGACACAGGGTACGCAGGGACACAAGGGACACAAAGGGACAAATGGGAAAACAAGGGACACAGGGGACACAAAAGAACACAAGGGCACGCAGGGGACACAAGGGACACAAGGGGACACAGGGGAAAACAGGGGACCCAGGGAACACAGAAAAACACGAGAGGACAAGGGCCACACAAGGAACAGAGGGCACACAAGGCAACAGAGGGAACACAGGGAAAAGAAGAACAGAGAGCAGACAGAAGGAACAGAGGGGACATACTGGACCGATAGGTCGAGACTACAGGTAAGGAGGGACAGCGAGAACGAATGAAGGCTATGCAACATATCTGACAACAAGGGCGCCAAGGGCCATGACAGCGGATCACTGGACGCATGGAGAATAAGGGGCACAAGGGGACCCATGGGAAACCAAGGGACACAGGGGACCCAAAAGAACACAAGGGGACAATGGGGACACAAGGAACACAGGGGACACAAGGGTACACAGGGGACACAAGGGACACAAGGAACCACAGGGGACACAATGGACACAGGGGACACAGGGAACAAAGGGGACACAGGGAACAAAGGGGACACAGGAAACACAAGGGGACAAAGGCGACACAGGGGACACAAGGGACACTGGGCACACAAGGGGATACAAGGAACAGGGGGAACAAAGAGGACACAGGGGACACAAGGGACACAAGGGAACACAGCAGACACAGGGGACACTAAAGAACACAAGGGGACACGGGGCAGACAAAAGGAAACAGGGGACAGAAGGGACACAAGGGGACACAGAACACACAGGGGACAGAAGGGACACAGGAAACACAAGGGGACACTTGTAATCAAAACAGGGGACACAAGGCGACACAGGGGGCACAAAGGACACAAGAGGACACAAGGGACACAGGGGACACAAGGGGACACAGGGAACAGAGGGGACACAAGAAACACAAGGGGACACAGGCGACACAAGGGACACAGAGGACACAAGGGACACAAGAGACACAAGGGGACACAACGGACACAGGGGACACAAAGAACACAGGAAACACAAGGGGACACAGGCAAAACAGAGGACACAAGGGGACATGAAGGACACCGGGGGCACAAGGGACACGGGGGACACAGGAGGACACAAGAGACACAAGGGGACACAGGGGATGCAAGGGGACAAAGGGGACACAAAGGACAGAGGGAAAAAAAGGGGACACAGGGAACACGGGGACAAGCGGGGACACAAGGGACACACGAGGACACAGGAGACACAAGGGAACGGAAGGGGACACATGGGAAACAGGGGACACAAGGGACACAAGTAGACACAAGGGAACATAAGGGGACAGAAGGGGACACAAAAGAACACAAGGAGACACAGAGGATTCAAGAGGAAACAGGGGACACAACGGACACAAGTGGACACAAGAGGACACAGGGGACACAAGGGGACAGGCAACACAGGAAACACAAGGGACACAAGAGACAAGGGGGCACAAGGAAACAGAGGGGACACAGGGGACACATGGGGACAAAGGGGACACAATGCGACACTGGGGACACAAGAATACAGGGGAAACAAGGGGACAGAAGGGGACGCATGGGACACAAGGGGACACAGGGATGCAAGGGGACAAAAGGTACACAGGGACATACGAGGAGACAGGGGGTACAAGGGGACACGTGGGGAGAAAGGGGAGACAGGGGAAACAGCGGACAGGAGGGGACACAGGGGACACAAGGTACAAAGGGGACACCTGAGGATACAGGGGACACAAGGGGGCACAGGGGGAGACTTATGTCACTGATATCCCTGTAGTCACTGTTAACACTGTAGTTACTGTTGTCCCTGTTGTCTCTTTTGTTACTGCTGTCACTGTTGTCGCTCTTTTCACTGATAGCTATGTTGTCGATGTTGTCACTGATGTCCCTTTTGTCACTGTTGTCATTGTGTCTCTGATGTCCCTGTTGTCACTGTTTTCAAGTATGTTCCTGAAGTCACTTTTGCCACTGTTATCACTGCTGTCATGGTTGTCACTGTTTTTGCTGTTGTCCTTATTTTCACTGATGTCACTGTTGGGGCTGGTTGTCACTGATGTCCCTGTAGTCACTGTTGTAACTATTGTCACTGGTGTCGGTGTTGTCACTGTTGTCTCTTTTGTCAGTATTGTTACTGATGTCTATGTTGTCACTGTTGTCGCCGTTGTCACTTTTGTCGCTGTTGTCACTGTTTTTACTGTTGTCGCTGTTGTCACCTGATGTCCCCGTTGTCACTGATGTCTATGTTGTCGATGTTGTCACTGACGTTCTTTTTGTAACTGTGTCACTGTTGTCGCTGTGGTCACTGTTGTCACCGTTGTCAATAGCGTTAGGGAATAAAATTGGAGGAAGCTATTTTGACAAAATAATTAGATATTGTTTTAGTACGTGGAATAACATAATAGGAGTAGAAATATATTTCCAATCGGTAGTTTGATCATTTCCTTGGAATTAAATAAATGTTAGGCTATCAACCTTAACTTTGCATGAAGCATAATTTAATTGCAGACGTTTTAAAGCCGAGGCGATTTCTTAAAATCGTTTGAGCAAATTTTCTAGTAAACAATTTGCGTTCTTTTACGTACGGATTGTAAAAGAGACAAACTACAGCATCTTCACGTGCGAATTGTGTGCATGAGTTATTTCTATAATTGTGCTTACTGGATTACGGTTTGATCGAATTCTATTCACGTACGAATACGAACTGTGTGACTGCATCGCATACCGACTGGCTTTTCACAGTAACAATAGTAATCACTGAACGTATGAAGACCTCTTTTGTTTTGTAACTAGTGCCTTCAGTACAAGCTTCGTTCTTTTTAGAAGCAATAACTTACAACACTTTTATAATCAAGACGTCAGAGTTAAAGACTGTTTCGTTAAGTAGAATCGCACGTGACAACCTTGCGAACAATGATGATGTAACCATCTACAACAATGATTAAAATCGTGACATTTCTTAGACCTTCTTAGCCATTTGGTATTCGACAAACTTCATTATCATAACCATGATTGAAGAAACCTTGAAACCTTCGAGTCTTCCCTCTAAGTAACGTTTGGTGAGTTGATATTCATAGTACTTAAACAATTTGTTTATTTGCACCATATTTCCGAAGGAAAGACAGAAAAGTGAATCTATAGCATGACGATTGACTCAGCTGTGCGCAGCGGTTCTCGTTTTCATTAATGTACAGAATACCCAATTTCGCACAAAAATAGTCTTAAGGTGACTCGACCCAGTTTTTTTTGGGGGGGTACCATCCTACTTTGAAGCTCTCTGGTATCCCCACCTTTACTTTTATCGTAAGTCTAACACACAGAATGGATAACGTATAGATCAATCTACAATATAACATAAAATTTTGGGCGATCGGAGTAAATGTCACGTGGTTATAATGCCACGCCCCTTTGAGGTCTGAGGCGAAAATCTGCTGTTGCCGGCATTTTTTCGTGAAAATCTCTCGGCTACACATAGTGCGCATTAGTGCCTTGAGCTGAACAGAGTTTCACCAAAATCGCAAAGACCCAATTCGAGAAATTCGCGGTTTCCAAATTTAGGTCATAATTTATGCGAAAATGATAAGCAAACTTTACACGGATTATANTGACGTTTGTCAGCGTGTAAGAGTCTTTCTCACGAAAAAAGCATTTTCTTAAAAATTCGTAGTTTTTTTTCCTTCAAATTTTTTCAGGGCCACAATTGATTAACTAAATACCCGGACTCTGAATTTCATGGTCATTGAAAAACTGTGACATTATCTTCTATAAGCCCAAACTTGAGTAAACATTGAAGATTTTTAGCGTTTTGGCTGAGTTTGAGCTTTGGGAGTTGTCTACTGTTTCTAGTCTGTCATTATGCAGCGTTCTTGTTCAGCACGCGTGCAATGACCACGCTTGGCTGACTTCCGAATGCTCACCGAGATATTATAATTTAGTATGAGAAAATAGAAGGGATTCCCGTCACGAGTTGGTTTAATTATTGGCTTGCATTAAACCTATGAAAAAAATGATATTTTTTTAATAGTGAGTAGATTTAGTGTGTAGCACTTCTTGATTTTTTTGCAAAGGCACAAGAAGCACGAGAATTGATTAAAAATTGTGAGTTAAACCTCTATGTATCACGCGATGGCCTGTCTCACTGTACCAAAATTATCATGCGCACTATGTGTAGCCGAGAGATTTTCACGAAAAAATGCCGGCAACAGCAGATTTTCGACTCAAACCTCAAAGAGGCGTGGCATTATAACCACGTGACATTTACTCCGATCGCCCAAAATTTTATGTTATAATGTAGATTGATCTATATGTTATCCATTCTATGTGTTAGACGTACGATAAAAGTAAACTCATATTCGTTCTTTATATGTTGCTACAAAGGAATCAATTATGGCGTTTAGTGTGGTCATGTGGCTTTGATTTCTGTCTAACAACATTCTCCAATCAACGACCTGTCTTTACCGGATAGTTTTTAAACGGTAAATATATAAAGAAAGTTGAAAAGTGTTTGAAAGCAATCATCTACTGTCACAGCTCACACATGCACTATCGTGACACAGTCTCTTTAAGGGCACTAAAATTAGTATTTACAAGAAAATACGCTATAATTATTATACTGCTTGCACTTACCATCATAGGTTTTCAAAGGTCCTTTATCTGAAAGGATCCCAATTTTTTCTGAAAACAAGGAATGGTCATTATATCAGTAAGATGAAATGTGAGTAAACAAGCATTTAGCACAACGGCCATTTAGCCCTTACACAGCACCTTCACAGAAATTTGATCTCGATTCAGCAAAAATTCAAGGGTTATTGTTAGATTTTGAAGCTATGGCGTACAAACTTGATGGTTTTAGCCAGTACAGTAAGATGGTTTACACGAAGTGAAAATTATATCCTTATTCCAAGACGACGCCATCCTGAAACGCCGCCATCAATTTTCTTCCAGGTTGGGAAAGTTTAGAAAGGCAGTGGGAACAGGCAAGAGCTTGCATCAAGCTGACACTGACTAGTTCTTTTTTTAATGTAATGGGAAGAAAATAGACACCAGTTTTCATTTGTAATCAAACTTTAACTGATTCTTAACTGGGAGCGGGTAAAGTGTACACATACCATCGGCACTTCCACACTCATATGAAGACTCGCATTCCAGAGAACAGATATTCGTTAGAGAATTTTCGGACTCAAAACAGCGATTATTGTGCCTATTTATTAGCAGCTGGCAGAACATGAGAACCACAGGATGACTGTGAGCCACCAGGACGTTGATAAACCCAAGGTACGCTACGAAGGCTGAAAGGGAACAGATTAGACTCTTGTGAAAGGTTTGAACCCAGGAGTCATTTCAAACGTAGGTTGAGTTTGATCGTCCGTGTGAACGTAGTCCTGAATAGGACTGCTGTTGTTGACAGTGACTGACGTTTCGACAACCTGTGCGGTAGTCATCTTCAGAGTCAAAGTGAGTTGTATCATGTCAGTTGGTGGTATTATACTCTGGTTATTGATCTGATTGGTCAATTATGTCGCGATGTTATTGGTGATTAGACTCTTGTTAACGCAGACTCAGTAGGTCGGTTATGTAAACGACATAGAACTTAGACTGCGGCTTAAGAAATCATTGGACCTCCAGAACTCGTTCTTAGTAGGTTAATTTAAGAAAATAAGTGCTTTTCCAGTCTACGCTAAGCGCTTTATTGAAATTGTTCATGATAAATGGTGTTCAGATAAAAGCGTATGGCAAACTGAAAATTAAAGAACGCGATGTCAATAAACAAGGTCTAAACTCCGGTTAAATAACTGGCCCAGTGAGTTTAATTTATAAAGATAATTTTAAATAAATAAGTATGCAATAGTTTTCAAATGAGCTCGATTTTTACGCAGTGTACAATCGGCTATTACTGCTTACGAGATATAGTGATAAAAGTAGGCTGGCAATGGGATTACGCCTTTTTGGATGAAAAGTTTTATAACTGTGCTTTTTAATCTTTGTGGGAATTAATTACCTGGCATTTAAACTGCTACGCATAATTTCGGTTAAATGTTAACTTTCCCAGACGGTGGTCATTCGATCTTCAATTTTCGGAGCACTGAAAGGCTCCCTGTTATCGCATTTTGTTGTTTTGTGTCTTTTCTTCGTAAACGAATCATGTTAGTCTAACTAATGTCATGTGATTGTTAGCTTGCGTGCATGAGTGTACATCACCAAAAGGTAATTTAACTTGCCTGGATCCCACGTCTGAAATCCTTGCATCAAGACTGTCCTGTCAATACGACCCAGAAACAAAACTCCTAGCACTGTTCCTTTGAAAATACGCATAAGGCAGGAGAACAACCCAACGAGAACGTTGTAGAAGAAAAAGAAGTACGATATGATGGAATACAGTCGTCTACGAATAAAGGAAATTTGTCGGTTAAAGAATAAAATAAAGTAACGACGAAAAGAAAGAGAAAAAGAGAACAAAGAGTGAGTTTCATGTTAGTCGGTGCTTCAGCATAACTTGGTTTTATATATGCCCCTTATGTGACTCGAAGTAATAATATTCCTGGAGTCAACAATAGTTAGCCATGCATTCCATTTCGAACAATCCAGAGTGGGAAACTAAATAACTCGATCTTGTATTAAATCCTCAATTTTATTTGTTTGTTTGTTCGCTTTTTTTGTGGATTAATCTATCTTGCTGTTTCCCTGCGGACACATTCGGCATCGATGATGGTAGAAGTATATGTTGTTATTAATTTTTTATCTCAGGTAATTTTTCTTTTTCTTTTGTTTTTGAGTATTTTAATGTATGCTAATCAAGTTTAAACAAAAGAAAAATAAAAATTACCTGTGGAGTGAGATAAAAAATGAACTACACATATATCAATAACGCCATGATTGTGTTAGGCTTGTTTGGTTTGTATGTTTGGTTTTTTTTTACCTTTTTTTTCGACAACTGGTAAGTTCTACTTCAATTATCAATAGCAGGGAATCAATAAATTGTAAGGGGTGAATACAAACCTGTTATTGACAGTGATAGTGGTCTTTGGAAGCGTTCTGTCTCGGAAGACAAAGTGACCAAGAAACAGCTGGAAACACCACAATAAAATCGCTATGATGACAGTGGGTCTGAAAAAATAAAGGAAAATGAAACTGACGATGAAGAGTAACATCTGAGTAAGAAGCAGAGGGATTGAATTTTATATTAATGTAGAATTCCAGTCCAAATGTTTTAGGGCCATGTTTTTACATGGAAAAAGTGTGCTCTTCCAGAGGGGTGTTAATTAATATAACCCTTCCTTTTTCTTAAGGGGAGTTAACGAAAGGGCAATCTTCCAAAGATATTCATCCAGTGAGCGATTCTCAATAAACCACAGATTTTCTTCCTTTAATCGCAATTTTGCTGGAGTTAATTTCTTGCTACACGATTTCGTATTTGTTGATACGAAGGAGGCAGCGTGGCCGAGTGGTTTAAGCGCTGGACTTGCCATTCGAAGGACTCGAGTTCAAGTCCCGCCCTGACCGGTAGCTGGATTTGTTCACGGTAATCAAGAGTTCAAATCCTCGACCACGCTTGTAAATAACCAGCTGGTTGGCCTACGGCCAGTTTGGATTCTTAACACTCTTATATGTTTGATTATATTTGAATTATTTGTTTCGGTCATTCGCTCGGCCCCACTAGCATAAGTGTTGATATAGAGTGTGTTAACTTGACCCGTGAAATAGGTAGTAGAATACTACTCACTATTAGTAAAATCCAACTGGTGGTCTATTATCAATGGTGCGTTCTGATTGGTTGAGCTACTACTAGGCTGTATATGTTATAGCCCACTACTACGGAAAAGTGCCGGCGTTGGAAACCAATACAATGGCGGCTGAGTCGCGTTTTGCTAGGTAAAGTTTTTTTGTTTCGATATTTTTGACCAACTAGTTGGATTTTACTAAAACAATTATTCCTCTCGCCCTCGTGGGCTCTGAGTCAATAGCCCATTCGGCCTTCGGCCTCATAGGCTATTGACTCAGAGCCCCTTCGGGCTCGAGGAATAATTGTTAATTATGCACTAATTCCATTGTCTTCTTTTGTTTACCTCTTGCTATTTTTCACTATTTTTTAGTATCTGCTTCACAGTTCAAGTAAAATCACTCTTAATACTACCAAGGGTAAAGAAAGGAATTATTATAAAACGGCCAATCATGCTTAACTTGATTCTTAAAGCAGGTAGGGTAATCCTACTTATATTTTAACCCTATCTCATATTCAAAATATTAAGGCAACACAATAGAGTACTAAAGTGATGACGTCATAAAAATGAAATTTCTGAAATTATGGGATTTGTCAGGATATTCTGAAAGAACAATGTCCAAGAGGCCTACTTGCCAAAAATGAGCATTATGCGGCAAATTGTCTCTGAGATCGTAGCCCAGTTATACTCAGAAAACTCCATACAAACCCTTCTAATTTTTTTTTGGGTCGACCCCAAAAAAATTTAGAAGGGTTTGTATGGAGTTTTGTAAGCATAACTGGGCTACGATCTCAGAGACAATTTGCCCCCAAATGCTCATTTTTGGCAAGTAGGCCTTGTGGACATTGTTCTTTCAGAATATTGTGACAAATCCCATAATTTCAGAAATTTCATTTTTATGACGTCACACTTTAGTACTCTATAGAGTAAGATACCCTTTCGGGTAGACTTGTTACAAGTCGACCTCACGAGGTTCCTCGCGAGCGGAGCGAGCTCTTTAGACCGGGAAGTGGCCAAGCGAGCAACAAAGTCGCGAGAGGTTCGTCCCGCGCTATTTAATAAATCAACCACAATTTTCAGTGGTCTACACTCTTTTATAAAATAACTAAGATAGTACGCGCGTTCTGATTGTTTAAAAACCTATGGTTTATTGTGCTGGTAAACTCAAAGAAAACTGAAACATGCTTTAAAGTTATTTTATAAAAGCAATAGACCACACTTTCTATGGGTTTACCGGCGTGATAACCCACTTGAGATGATGGGAGAACACTCGAAATGCTTGTAAATCACTCGCCTTCGGCTTGTGATTTACAAGCTTTTCTCGTGTTCTCCCAACATCCCGCGTGGGTTATCACGCCGGTAAACCCATAGAAAGTGTTGTCTACTGCGTAAATAGACCATAGAAATGACTTCATAAAATGTTCAAAACTCAAGAGGAACGAGCCGCTGGCGAGTGGTTTCACTGCCAACGTTTTGAACATTTTATGGAGTCATTTCTATGGTCTGTAAGAGTGTAGATCATGGAAAATTGTGGTCGATTTGTTTTTTACAATAACATTTATTTTTAGTCTTCTGCGAAGTTTCTCAGAAAATCACGCGTGACATGTTACGTCATTTCCATGGTCTTTACTCTCAAAGACCATAGTTCTTGACCAATCAGCGCGCGAGGATTCGATCAGTTATTGTAAAAATTAAATTGGACGAAGGACTTTTTTGAAAGTCTACCTTCCAGGGGGTAATCCTTAGTAGAGTTATCTTGACCTACGTTCCATGCAAACATAACCTCAAACCACTTCGTCTTCAACAGAAGGTCATTTTCCTGAGCTAGTGGAATTCCTTACCGTTTTACTTATATATTCATGTTTAATTCGATAATTAATATATTTTTTAGTTAGCTTTAATAGTTTGTAATGCGCATTTGATCATGTGATATATGTTAATTTGTGCAATACCAAATAATAAATATTATTATTATTATTATTACTTGGTTATTGAAATCTACGGATCCCTGTGTGGTTCGACAATAACAATCAACAAAACTTTCTTCTAGGTGTAGTAAAAGGACGCCATCCATAATAATGCCTGGAAGACTAACCAAAATTATTTGCCGCCAAACATTTTGCTGTAATTAGCACTCTGCTCTTAAAGCTTCACATATGAGTTAAAGAACTTTTTGGGACCGTCACAAGGTGCGGCCTGTTTCAGAGAGATGTTCGCCGCATGAAGAGACAAAGAAAATGGGTCAAAAACGACAAGACCTAACTCTAGATGGCCATGTTAGGGAAATATGGTACGTTACGAGACCCAAAGAGTAATGACCTTATATACGTAATTATGAATAAACAGCGCAAAGACTTACAACGCAGTTAACACAAATTTCTTCAATTGTTCTTGATCGATGATATCATTCCAGTATTTCACAATTAGCCCCAAAATGACGCACACAACCGCTAGAGATAACCCCAAGACCATATAACCTAAAAAACAAGTCATACAAAATTAATTTGATATGAAGAGTATTAAAAAGATATTGCTTAGACCTAAGGGTGGCTCCTCATAAACGAGACGAGGAGAAAAAAAATATGGCGTCAATAATGATGGTTGCATTTCAAAAGAAACCCTGCGGTAGGCGTTCAAATTAGTTTATGCAGTTGTACTCACGATACGGTCCACGTTCTTCCGGTTGGTCCTTATGTTGCTTATTCAAGCTTGTTATGGAGTAGACAAAGAACGGGGTTGGGCGATTTCAATCACCTTTACTATCACACCATCACCATCATCGTCACCACCATCGTCACCATCATCGTCACCATCATCACCATCATCATCATCGCCCTCAACTACACCATCATTGTCATCATCATCGTCAATTTATCGTCATTAGGGAGTTTAAGATGCCACTACGGCGACGGCGACGAGAACTTCAAAAAGCAATTGGTTAAGATTAGCAAAACAACAACTCTGCACGTGCATCACGCTTTTTTGTAAGTTTCTTTGCGGTCGCTGCACGACTACGACGTGAATTGCCTAATTTCACGTTTTATCGACAACGGGAACATACGACGACGAATCTCTCTTACTCTTTGTAAAACTGGATATTTTTCTTAAGAACTCAAGTCCAGGAGAGTTCGCCTACATAAAAGATAGTGACCGAGTTGGGATGATTGCGCTTAAGTTTCATAGATCGAGAAGTCACCTTTTTAAGCGACGTTTTTGCCGCCGTCGCCGTTGTCAGGTATCTTAAACTCCCTATTATCGTCATGAAGGCAACCATCATTATCATCACCTTTACCAGTATCAGCATCATTAGCATTAAATCGACATTATTATGTTATCATATCATTATCATGGACGCCATTACCGCGATCACCATCAAAATCATCGAAATTGTTACTTTCAGCATCATTATCATGAATAAAATACATTCTTTAACCAAGGGTGTTTTCAGATCTCTTTGCAGAACCAGACCTGGGAATAAAAACCTATATCGAAAATTCCCAAAAGCGTTGAGAAAAAAAACTCTAAAAATTTCCTACCAGCTATTGTGTAGGCGACTTGGTATCCAGAAAATAAAATACTGTTTTCCTAGTGAAATGCAATAACGTTTAACAACATTAAAAATTTGCAAACTACCATACAAATTTAACTTCTCTCCCAGAAAATCATTACGGGACAACGTAGGGCTGGCACTCAGAGTATCGCCCCATTGAGCATGGCGTAATGCATCTTGTTTACCCCCAAAATTTATATAACTATTGTTTCCAATAGGCCATTTGCACGATGGCCTCATTTTACTACTACGACCAGAATAGGCCATTTGCACTAAGAGGTCATATGACATCGTTTTTACGAAAATGAAAGTTATATGATTTTGCCTTCCAAAAAAGATTAGTGGGTCATATCTTAAACAAAATAATAGTGATTTGGTTTTTCAAACCCGCACCATTTTCTTAAAATGAGTAAGTTCGTAGCTCGTCACGTGACCAAATGTGATTTTTCAAATTAGGTATTACATCTTTCAGAACACAAATTTTGCACTTAAAGTTCAAGGGAAATGTTGAAAAGATGATGTGGTAACGTTTACAGCACATCTGAGCGTAACTATCAAACGTTTAACAAGTATATTCGTTTTTCATCTTTTGGCCGCCATGTTGGAGGGCAAGAGTATGCCCTCCAACATGGCGGCCAATACAAATCATACTGCTTTGTTGAAAAATCAAAGTGCCATAAAATATCTCCCTTAAATGCGTTCCCTCTCAAATTTCGGGAGTGAGATAATTTTTATGTGCTCTGTCAATTTTTGGCATCAGCAAGATTCCAACACATCGTTTAGAGGAAGCATTGGTCACGTGACCTCTTAGTGCAACTGGCCTATTCCTTTCGTTTTTCTTTTCATATTTAAAGTTGGGTAATCCCAGTGAGGTTTAAATAACAAAAAACCTAATTTGCGCAAGAAAGCAAAACCCTGAAGGATCCTGGTCATAGTAGTAAAATGACGCCATCATGCAAATGTCCTATTTCTCATGGGTATCACAGTCGTTCCAAGAGAAATCGAAGGCCATGGTTATTCCTTTTTTTTTTTCACAAGGTGCATTATGATCTCGGTGAAAACGGTGATTGCGAGGGAATCCGGATTCCGTAATCGGAAAAATTTTGCTTGTGTGCAATCTGGAGTCCTGGACTTTGGAATCCGGATTACAACTCAAGGAATTCGGAATCCCGCTAACGAGTAGAATCAAGTATCAAAATTCCACAGACTGGAATCCAGTACCTGGAATCAAAATGCAAGACTGTCTTGGATTCCCTTGCCCTTTTTCCCTTGTTCCTATTGGAGCGACACGGTAGGAAAAGTGCCCAAGCAAAAGTAGGGTACACTACTGCTACTACTACCACTACCACTACTACTAAGGCACAGAAGATAACATCCTCATGAAGTACAAAAAGTGTTGCAAAGGAAGCCCCTTAGATGCGAGAAGTATCTTAACACCCGTTATTATTCATTCAACATTTCCCCGATTCTGATTGGCTGAAAGCACACGCACAATTCATCATAACCAGCTACTAATGACCAAATTTTGAAGAATTTTGCGATTAATCAACCGATGACGTCAAAAGTGCAGTTTCCTTGCAGGTTAAATCACCGTTAACCGAGAAGACCTGGAGACGAGGTTGAGTTGTTTTGGTTGTGAAAACAAAAATGGCGGACACTTCACTCGTTTCAAGAGTAAGAACTATACGAAGTAATAGCTAAAAACATGGCAAGAACAGCAAGAAGACAACTCGAAGGGCAACATCTGCTATTTGGAGAATATTTACGGGGCTGAGCAACCCTAAACGTGTACTATCGAAGATGAACTTAACAGCGATGGAGGTAAGTATGTTTTAGCTATGTTTTTCAACTAGGAGCTATTTTGAATGAATAATAAAACAATTATTACATTCGGCTATCGTATCATATGAAGAATTATGGAGATCTCGGAGGGTATTATCCGCCTCAGCCAACACCCTCCTCGATCTCCATAATTCTTCATAGGATACTCAGCCTCATTCATTAATTGTTAACTATCTTTATCTTAATTAAATTCCTTACTTTTCTCAAATCAAATACTTACCACCAGTGTTGTTGGCGAAACCTCCACCTGTTGATAAAAGGCTTTTTTCCCTTGATATAGCTGCAGTACATGACTCCTGAAAAACAGGAAGCGAGTGAGACAAAAATCGTGTTGACGGATGGGTTGGTTTGGGGTGGGTAAGAAAAAAAGGAGTTGTAAAGAGCTCTAACATTAGAAAATAATGGGAAAGAGAGGAAAACGTTCAGTCAAGCCCTTGGGATATGTGAATTCCACTTAAGTTATCTTTAGACCAATTAAATACTTGAAATAACATGTAATAAGAGGTTCCTTTCAGGAGAAGTCCGCAAACTTGTTCAGGTTTATCAGAGAGAATTCAACAGTCGCCAATATTCTGCATTGTTTGCTTTGAGACAGTCGCGCGGGGACTTGGTGACGTTTCAAATAATCCAATAAAATATGCGGACATCTCAGGACCAAACTCTAAAAAAACCTATTCACATCCCCTGGCCAACGCCCTAAGATCGCCTCCCTTCCCATTAATCTCTCTTGGCTCGACCAAATCAACTACATATAGACTTACCGATGACACTTCATAAAGTGTAGAAGCAATATGGCGGATATAAACCAGGAAAAAATATAGGCGGTTTGCAAGCTGCCTGTGAAAGCAAAGATTCAGGAAAGTTCAGTTATCGGCGAGTGAGAAAATCTACTTTGAACGTACAACCCTTTTGTATTCCTCTTTTCCGATTCTAAAATTAAAACTGAATGGAAAACAACTATTTAAATAAAAAAACAAATGCAAAATGTTACATACAATGTTTAACGAGCGGTTGCAGAGAAAAAGTATTTTAAAATGTTCTAGGCCAAAACATTAAAGGTACAAATCTCAGCGGAGAGAAAGACTGGTAGAGAGTATAACCATAATAAGCGGGGGAATGAAAATAGCAGATGGTAGAGTGATTTTACTAAACCTGTGAAACAGTATGCATCAGTTAGTGCCAAATAATTACAAGTAAACGAAAGAAAACAATAAAATAAGAGTTTAATGCTTCGTATTAGTCTACTATATATTTCACTAGTTAAGTAAAATCACTCCAATTGCTTAGACATCGTTTGACAATGAACAATTAACTTACAAGTTCCACAGAGTGCCACCCTTTTTATTTCTATATTGACTTCATACGAACTCCCTATACTATTAACATACCAAATATCACACCAAACAAATCCTTGCAGTTGTCATTACCACAATAGTTCTTGGTCAAAGTCTTCTTGTAGACAGCAAATCGGCCCAGAAAACTCACAAGGAGCTTAAAGAGAATTTGTATCTTATGAGTTGTACAGTTGTCACTACTGATAACCAAATTCTCCAGTCTGACAGGAGATAAGCAAAGCTAATTTAAGCATTGATTTGGAGAATCCACGATTATTATTACTTTTTTTTGTTCAGCTGGTACAAAAAAAAATTGACGAGTCCGAAAAAGGATTCATTAGCGTCGCCAATCGGGGAAAACGTCGAGGGCCTCTTTTAAGGCTTACAGGCAAAACGCTTGCCGGCTGTTCTTTCTTACTTCCACGGGGCCAATAAGCACGCATGACTGCTAAAACACGCCTAAACTTCTGCATTGCTCATATTCGAAAATCAAATTTTTGATAAAACGCAAATATTAGTTTCTGAATTCAATAACCAGGATTTTTAGCCCTGAGTAATTGGACAGTACGTGTCAAATGGGACAGGAGAACTTAAATTGGTTCTTTCCTTGACTCGCTGTGGAAAACGTTGATAAAGAAACTTTCCCTTCCAGGTTTTTAACGGTATTTAGTCTTGAACCCTGAAGAAGGCAGTATTGCCGAAACTTCGGTTAAGACTCTTTTGAACAACGCCGATTTTACAATTTTCGAATTAACATAGTGTGTACAATCCCTTACTTACCTGAAATATAACTATTGCAGCAACCATCAACGTTGATATAAACTGCGTCGAGAACTTGAAATCTGAAAAAACACCAACATAATGGGCAAGCCTTATTTTTATAGGTAGATTTTTCTAAACGGAAACGCGGCGGCAGTGCCGACGGCGGACGCAAACCACAAAATGGGCTTGACCAACGGCAAAGTGAAAAATTAGGCACCGGAAGTCGCGTTCAGTCTTTCCGCCCGCCCGCCCGCTTTCGCGTCGATCAGTTGCTAAATCACTGTGTTCAAATGAAGTAAAGACATCGAGTTGCACATTTCTTTAATTTTTCTATCAGCTTAAATTAAAATTTGTCATTAAATCTCATTGGCTTGGCGATTATAACATGATTAATATTGTGACTGAAATATTACGTATACATTCTTCGTCAGCTTATGCATTTCGACGAATAGACATTCAGCATAGTGATATTGCAAAAAAAAAAAAAGACAATTAGGGAAAGAGTGGATTAATAATAAGGTAGGTCCATCCTAGCCTGAGTAGCAGGCGTTGAAAGGGGTAGGAGATTGGGAGGAAGAGAAAAAGAAAGGGCGATTGCGGAGATAACAAAAACTGTTTGAATAGAGACGTCCACGCAACGCGTAAATATAACTGACTGGTTCCTCTTGCCGCATCTCTAATCAAAGAGTTGCTGTAGCCAGACGTCACTGGAAGTGTGAAATATAGCAAAACTCAATGCAGGGTTGGCACTACGGCAAAGGGCTGAGATGGGAGATGCTCTTGTCCTTTCGCGCTTCCCCTCTCCACCTCCCCTCTCCTTTTTGCGCCTGCCACACAAGCTAGGTAGATCCCTTTTATGGCTCTATGCTATTTTCGTACATCTATTGATGTCTGATAAACAAGTAGTAAATAACCTTCGTATATAAAAAGTAGCCAATCAATGGACTAGTTATGTACCACGTGCCCAAACCAGACCAATGCGAAATTCAGATAGTGACGTTCCACTAGATAGAGCCTTCCTGTATCCCTTTGAGCAAAGGCACCAACTCGACGCTCCGCTTTACAAAATAATTAAGTGACTTCTACCCAAGCTTCGAGAAGTAGTTATGTACGTAATATTGTGACTCTCTATTTGTATTTCGACGAAATCGAAGTAATGACGATTGCTATTGATGAAACGTGAATCTTAGAGATTAAAGCGACGAATGCATTGCCATTTCTATAAAGTTTTACAGCTTTAGTAGTGTGATGAGGACAAAGAATTTGCCAAAAAGTGTACTACACGATCAAAGTTATTTAATTGTGCTTAAACAGGTTATAAAATCTGCTGCATTTTTTAATTTTTTTTCCCGTCGTCACCGTCGTGGTTGTTCGAGCTCGCTAGTAGGGTTATAACGCAAACAATTCTTGATATGTGACGATTTTGTTGAAATTCCGACGATTTGAAGGAAAATACGCCACGAAAACGAAAGGTAGCCACAGAGTGGCTCAATATTACGTCATGGCATAATCTCTTTTTCGAGCTGCATATCTCATCCACAGAGAAAAAAATAGTGAGAATTTTAGTTTTTATTACCAGACTGTCTAATGAAGTCAAACCTGCTCTTGGTTTGTAGATGAAGGGAATCAATCTCAAGTACCACTTTTCATTTGTATGTGTCGCACCCCTGTCAAATGAAGAGATCATAAGGAGAAATAACCAAAAAAATAGCAGTTGGTATTCCTGCTTTTACTCTCTGCCGGGCTTATCACACTTATTCTCAGCATTCTTGTCTCATTCGTTCAGTTCTTAACATTTTATCACAATCTGGGCTCTATCTAGGGTATTAAAGGGATTGAAGCTCCCCCCCTCCCCAACCTAAGGAATTTTCAGCTGTGTATCTCAAAAGTAGTGATTGTAACGGCCGCCGAAAGTTAGAAGCATTTGTATGAGAAAAACAACTTTTGCCATCCAGTCACGCTTGCATGGTTTTCCATACAAATCTTTGTAAATTCTAAAATTCTTAAACTGTCGTTAAATATTTTCCTTACGCATTTAAGGGCTCAAATTGCCGGTTATGAATTAAAAGGAGATTTGAATCCCGTAATGCTTAAGGAAATATTTCATGAAAGTTTTGAAAATTTCGAAACTACAAGGATTTGTATGGAAAACCATGCAAGTGTGACTGGATGGCAAAAGTTGTTTTTCTCATACAAATGCTTCCAACTTTCGGCGGCCTTTGCAATCGCTACTTTTGAGTTATACGGCTGAAAATGCTCAGGTTACCTAATTTTAATATGCTCTTTCAGCTTGTGCTATGAAAATTTTCAAAAGTGAACTGATTTCGTGTTTACCGAAAGTTGATCTCGTGATCAAGTCATGCAAAGAGCCTATCAAACAACGCTGCAAACAAGATAGATGTGTGTCGTAATTCTTAAAACGGAAAATATTTCAAAGACTTACGAGTTTTCTCCGGGATAAAGGAGTTTCTTGATGTGCTCTACTCCAGGCGATTCTATTAGAATGGTATCACTACATTCTCTATATCTCTGAAAAAGAAAGTGTTAATATCGTAACTATTGGATTAATGAAAAAAGTCTTTCCCGGTTTATTCACTTATGGATATTACATGGGTAACTTTTAGCGAAACCCTTAGCCTTCGACGGAACTCCGGGAGAACGAGCGAGCGAGCGGCGAAGCCCCTCGCACTCGCATGTCCTTTCGCGTGCTGCTGTCGTGTGACTTCTCGTAAGTCGCAACTCCCTCAAAAAAGAGAGTTTGCTTGCAGGCTAGGAGACTCTTGGATTCGACTCGGTAGTAACCGTGAATTCTTAGTCTTATTTACTAAGGGCGTTTAATCCATTTTGCGATTACTTTTGAAACAAACTTTGAGAGGTCCGAAGAAGGAAGGTATTAAACCGAATTAATGCATCTTTCCATTGTTGTAGCTGTTGTTGGTGTTTCCATTGTTAAGAAAAAAAAATGCTATTTGCCACTTTCAAGCTTAAGAGATTTTGATCTCACGATTTTTGGTTATATAATTATTGCTGAATGAATTTAAGTGGATTTTGTAAACGTGATATCGTTATACTATAAGCAAAGAAATATTATAATTGTATTTGAATCATATCAGTCTTGACACGACTTGAGGGCTTTAAATTAGCTTGCAGGAAATGCGTGACGAAGGGGAAAAAGTCCGATCTGAATGGGGTAAAACGCCTTCCGATAATGCTAGATAGTAGAAAGTGTTAGAATTTATTGGCCAAGCTTTCAACTTGTGAACCATTCGTTTTTTGCTGTCCAAACAGTTGCTAGACTGTTCACAGTCCTCTATTTTCCCGTAAGATCGTCGAGATCGAGCGCTTTGCGTTACCGGCTGCCATCTTGCATGAGTGTAAAAACTACTTAGGTGGCGGGGGCGGTTTGGAAGGGAGGTTTTTGCTCGCTCCCCTACCCCCTAGAGCGGTACATTTAAGTGTTTTCACATGACGTCACGGCGGCCATATTAGTGTCCAAAAACAATGAAGCGGCGGCCATGTTGGTGTCCCAAAACAATGAAACGGCGGCCATGTTGGTGTCTCAAACCAATCCTCTGGGAGTTGTACTCTTTCCTTATGCAAACGCTTTCTTTTGTTCCAATAATAGATGCATAGATGCTGGCCACGTGAGTGAAAACACTCTATATCTCGACGACCTCACGGAAAAATAGGGGACTGCGATCAGTGTAAACAGCTGCCAATACTAAAACTATTTTGTATTTAGCTGGCCAAAAACGCTAGTCATACGCCGACTGAAAAGCAAAAGCTATACTTGTTATGTTTCCTCACTGAGTGTCACGGAACGAAAAAATGGATTTGCACAAATTTGCTCCTACAAATATGTCGCAAATGTGTAAATACCGAGGAGTAAATATATGGCGGACATGGTAAATGCCATATTACTTGTCGGCCTAGCTAGCTATCTGCACCCTCTAGCTGTTTTATGGTAGGCAAATGTGGCTTTTACCATCCTTGCCATATATTTACTCCTCAATATTTACATATTTGCGACATATTTGCAAGAAGCAAATTTGTGCAAATCCATTTTTTCATCCAGTGTGTTCTCGATCGATGTCATCAGAACCTAATGTTTTATGTATTAGCTTAATCCTTGGTTTGCACGTTTCCCGAAACACATCAATCACTCTATTCAACCTACTGCATCAGGTCTTAATCCAGGATAAGGAAAATTTATTATTCATGAATTTTTGTTAAGACAGATGAACCAACGAGGCACGAGCAATCGGACCACAAAGAACATAAAATACCGTTAACCCTCTCAGCTGTAATCGGACAAAGAACTCTGACAGGCCAAACTTTGGAGCCTTTATTTATTATACAGTCGGATCTCTCCTTGGGGACAGAAGAAAGTGGCCGTCGTGGAGAGGTGGCCGTTATGGGGAAGTAGGGGAGTAATATCACCTTTTTTTAGGGAGTACAACAACAAACAAAAAAACAACAACAACAACATAAGTTTGTTGTAAGAATAAACTTAATTAATGACACTGTCCCGCAGGTAGCAAAAGCTAATCTAGGCGAAACAGAAGAACAACTGAGGGTTAGGGTGTAACTTTCTTAAAATAAATATTATTACATAATCTTAAGTTAGTATCATTACATAAAGACAGAGTTAGGGAAACATGTTTATTGTGCTAAATTGAGTTGCTTACTAAATCCAATAATGGTAATCCAATCATATATAATTGGCAGTTGGGGACAAGCTTTAGTGGCCGTGGCCGCTGTAGAGAGGTGGCCGTTTTAGAAGGTTTAAAGAAGAGTCAATGTATGGACTGTCCCGCTGGGACAAAAACAAGTGGCCGTCGTGGAGAGGTAGCCGTAAGTGCAGGTTCGACTGAACCTAATGGAAAGTTCAATTGTGTATTACCGGGAGCATCTATCCTGCGAGCAGAGGTTTCTCTCTTGCATGGTTCGCGTGGCTTGTTTGTCGCGTAGTCACGGGGCGTAAACCAACCAACCACGCGACAGGCAAGCCACACGAACGACTTCGTAAACGCTAAAAGTCATGCAAGAGAGAAACCTGTGCTCCCAGGGTAGAGCGCATCCAATTACCTCAATTGAATTCGCCTAGGAGTTAAAAAAATTGCGCTTACTTTGAAGCCCAAATACATTAGATACACGAAACATTACATAATATAAAAAAAATTATGCTAATTACCTCACGGATGCGACGAAAGAACCGAAACCCTGTTTTGCGGATTTCCAGTACGAGCAGAACAGCAAATCTGATGTTTACAACAAGAAGGCAAAGGTAGGTTGGAAGAAGGCTGATAAGAGTCAGGTAAGGTTGCTTGCCACTTTCCTGAAAGAGAAGATAGCGTTATTTTCAGTTGTTCTCTCCAGTTTCTGTTGTTGTAGCAGAAATTGTTAAGCAAAACTTCGAGGAACAAGCCCTAGCTACCTACACGCGAACTATACCTCTTTGGTTAGGCTACGTTGACGACACATTCGCTGCCGTACACAAAGACAGAATCGACGATTTTCTAGAACACCTTACTGACACAGAACGCGGACATACAGTTCACCAAGGAGATCGAAGAAAATGGTAAGATACCTTTTCTAGACTGTTTCAGGTCACTCGCGACAACAACAGACTACGAACCACTATTTACAGAAAACCGACACATACCGACCGATCCCTAGACCAGTCATCGTACAACCCGACCTCTCACAAGGCTACAATCATACGGACTTTGAGCACAACTCGTTTGCGATTCACCTAACAGCCTACAAGATTTTACTGACTACTTAGATAACGTTTTTAGTAAAAACAACTACAACACGGACTTCGTTAGACGGAGCACTCACAGTAACACTGATTCCAACACTCAGACCAACTTCAACTCTGGCCCTGTTACGACAGCGACTATACCGTACATCGGAGGCACCTCTGTAACTATCGCACGTATACTACAACCTTATAATATACGTGTTGCACACAAATTGATAACCACTTTACGACGACTGTTTACTAATGTCAAGGACAAAGACAAACCGGAGGACAGACAGGGAGCAGTATACAAGATCAAATGCTGTGACTGTCAGGCTACTTAGATTGGTGAAACCGGTAGCAACCGTAGCACGCGACTGACCGAACACAAGCGAGCGACGAGAAATGGTGACGCCAACAATCACACTGCTGAACACCATTTACAGACGAAACATCAAATGGACTGGGACTCTGCGACATGTATTACAGACTACTATCGACGACTGACTTTAGAAAGCTGGTTTACTAACTCAAAACAAACGCCACTGAATCGTAGTCAACAGTTACCGACACCGTACAAACGACTTATTGCGAGAACAATACGAGAGAATGACAGGAGAACTGACAATTTGACTAACAATAGACGACTGTTTCACTGTGACAATAGACGGATCGAAAAGCACCAATTACATTACGAGTCTTCATAGCCAATAACATAACGGCTTAACTGACAAACGACCAATAAAATCGCGACGTAATTGACCAATCAGGTCAATAACCAGAGTATAATACCATCAACTGACGTGATACAACTCACTTTGATTCTGAAGATGACAACCTCACATGTTGTCGAAACGTAAGTCACCGTACCCAACAACAACAATCCTATTCACGACTACGTTCACCCGGACGATCAAACTCAACCTACTTTTGAAATTCTTGAAACTTACGCATGGTATGGCCTCAGCAAATGATACTTTTTTATTCACTATCACATCTGACCATTAATTTGCAATTTTTCTTGAATTTTCTCGACCTTTTTCTGTGGTCTTTTGCGCTATTGACTAGCTCTCCTAATGGCGAGCAACAGTCTTAAAGTTACGCCTTCGAAAAATACTACAATTTGACAAATCGTCAAACATTTCCCATGATCTGTACTAAAGTGGAACCACGAACCGCAGGCGAGTGGTTTCACTGCAAAGTTTTGAACATTTTGACGTCATTTCTATGGTCAATACGAGTACCGGACCATGGAAAGTTTTTGTCGATTTGTTTATACAATAACATTGATACTATTTGAAGGAGAGACTAAAACAAATTGCGCCACTATCACGTCATTTTCATGGTCTGTACTCTTATCGACCGACCATAGCTCTCGACCAATCAGAGCGCGAGAAAGCACTCAGTTATTGTGAAGCAGATGTTTGATAGCCCCTTGAAAGGAGCCGACACATCCTAGTCCTTATTAATTATTCAGCATATTCTCTCAACAGACATTCATACTATACAACTATTCCCCGAAGGGGAGGTGAATAGTGGTGATGGAGACATATACCGAGACGCGAAGCACCGAGGTGTATATCCAGCGCTCTGAACCGACCCTGAGGGTTATAGTTGTTTTAGTATTTACCAAATCAGTTGGATAAAATCAAAAAGAAACTTTTTTATAAATAAAAGACGTCACTTAGAGTTTGTTTATCGTTTCAATTGACAGTGTTTCGGGGATCATTTTTTTTATTATTTTGTTGCAAATTCAGTGAGAAATTTTTTTTATTCCAACAAGTCAACACTGACAAGCCACATTTTGTTTCTTTCTTGGTATTTGTTGGTGCAGCTGCTTCATTTACCGCCAAAATTCATCTTTTGAAACTGTCATGGAACGAGAAGCCATTTTGAATCCCGTCCCAAAACAGTGAATATCCACGGATATTCCGAGTTACGGAAGCCAATCAGAACGCGCGAAAATTGCTATCCACTGATTTGGTGAATACTACAAACAAATACAATGCCGATAGAAAATACGAGAGTGAAAGGCATTTTTAAAATACAACTCACATCGCCATCATTTGCGCACTGGAATTCAGTTGCAAGTTTGACACTCAACCTGTAAACAGAAAAGGAACACAAACACAAAACGTAAGTTTGCTGAACCACAAACTGACTCTAAGTTTTTCGAGTTTTCTCTGTTAAGGTTTAGGTATTACATAGGAACAAGACAGTCAAATCCTCTCACGATCTCGTATCGGTAGGAACGGGACGAATTAAGGTGATGTTACACGAGACGATTCGCAACAACGATTTTTAGCGCAACACAGCGTCGCAACATTGTTGCGACATTGTTTTGAATGGTTCCAACATTGTTCCGACATTGCAACGCTGCATGCGTTGCTAAAAATCGTCGTTGCGGGTTACGGTCGTTTCGATATACAAGTTTATCCAGTTTAGGTGTAAATAGGTCCACGTACTTGGCTTAAAGAACGAAGAATATTCACCCAAAATGTTTTTCATGTTCACCTGCAAACTTTATACTTAAAGTGATCGAAATTTTTGTGCAATATCACTTCTTGAGTTCGTATCGAAACGACTTGCATCGGAACGACTTTGTATCGAAACGACCGAACTCCGTCGTTGCGAATCGTACCGTGTAACATCACCTTAAGGGGGCTATATCACCAGGATATTGCTGTTTCATGTGAAGTCACTGCTTGGTACCTTTACCATTACAAAAAGGTTCTTGTAGAGTTATAAAGAATAGATTGCTTTTCTCCCTTTTCATTTTTTCAACATTTCCCTTTACTTTGGTCCCTGAACCGGATTTGACTGGATCACATCATGCGAAAGGAACTTTCTACCGACGTCAAGTAAACTGTTCTACGGTAATGATTTTTAGTGAGAGACTCTTTGACACCCACAAAAAACATCTTGTCGAGGACTGGACGCTTATGTGGCTGCAGTTGATACACAATTCTTGTCGAATGAGCAGCCAAACGCATACGACTTTATTGGAAGGCTATCAAAAAGGAAGTCATCTGGAGGCGATAAACATGCAAAACATCCATAGATTATGAAGACGTAACTAGCCAATTATAAATTTTGCACTTGCATGGAAGTAGTGTGAAAATAACAGAACGGCAGTTTTCCAAATTAGATATTAAAAAACGTAAGCGAGATGTTTGCGTTACATGACAGTATTTCTCGATCGCACATCATTAAATGCTCAGATTTTTACTATTAATTTTTACTAACCTGACAGCACCATAAAGGAGCCCCAAAATTGATCCTAGCAGCTTATTATCAGTTGTTAGGCAGGCGAAAAATGGATAGAACAATATTCCATAGATAAGTACTGCAAAAAGTCCCTGAAAAACTGAACGCAAATGTGCAAAAACTTGATAATAAGTCATGATAATTAATAACCTTTATTTACCCTTAGTTGCCTGTGTGTATAACACGAAGGCTAGAGGTCCTTGAGGGACCTAGCAAATGATACTTACAGGTAGAATAAAAAGTATTTTCTTTACCTCTCAACCAAGGCGTATCACCCAAAATATGAAACAAAGTTTGTCCCTTCGTGAAAAGTTCCAGGCATGTACTGGCTGTAGCTCCAAATGTAGCAGCAATGGTAAATCTGTTCCTAAACCCTCTTAGAAAGTTAAACGGTCTAAGAAAAAAAAGACCAATTTATAGATTTAGAGCTTGACTGTACGCTGTTGACTACAGTTAGTGAACTTCATGAGGCTGGCTCTAATAATCCACCGGGGTCAAACTTCTTAAGCCTTTTCTTGTGTTCTTTACTGGGATTTCATTTATTGGTAAGTAGAAAAATAGGAAAAGATGTCAGTATAAAATAACAAGTTAACGTTACTATCTTTAAATTTTTCTTGAAATAGTAAGCATCATTTCATTGCAACGCTTCGCCCAAGTAATCTTATGCTGACAAAATGGCGCCGTCCATAACACCAGTTTCCGTTTTGAAACACTTTGTAGTAAATTTACAGCGTATTGATAACATCTCAAATTTTCAACACTGAGAGTAAAAACCTTAGCTTTGAAGTATTTTACTTAGCTTACAAATTTCTCTCAAATCTTGGTCAGGGATGAGAAGAAACAAGACATTCAGTACACCGATTGCTGACGGAGAGGGACTTACATAACGAGCCCTGGATATCCACCGCAGCATCCAAGCATTAAATTTTTCCGGCGCTTCAGAAACGCCAAGAGGACTATAATGGCAAGCTGAAAAAGAAATAGAATATCGGCTTAAGAAATTTAAGGAGTATGGAAAAGACCGCCAAGTCACCGAAAAACAATTAACCGAGGGACCTTACAAACTGGCGTTTCTTTATGCACCATAAAAGATAAGTTAATTATTATAAATACTTACCGCAGGGCCAAGGCAACCTAGATCAAATATCTCTGCATCAATGGCTGCTTGACACCTAGAACGGAAGATAAGTTAACACTGTTAATGTCAAGAGCCATCCAAAGAAAACATTGTAATTATAACAAAACAAAGATCGATAGAAAAAGACAGAAAACGTTCTGGTTTTGTAATTAATTCATACCGTAAGCCCACCCTCCACTTTTTCTGGGAAAGAAGATTAAAAAAGCCCTCCCTTTTCGAGGGCGCATCGGGATTTTCGGTTTTGGCCATGTTTTAGATCGGTTCTTCGGTTTTGTTGTCCATTGTACATGTGGTTTCCGGTTTTTCCCTTTTTTAGCATCTGCTTTTTCGTTTTTTTGGCAAAAATAACGCAGTTTTTCGGATTTTGGTGACCGATGTGGATTTCGGTATTCCAATTTGGAAGGAAGTCAAAGACAAACCTGCACGGGCTCCCAATGTGATTTTTGTGGTTGTGTCGCATTATCAACTGCCTTCAAGTTACATTTTTGCTCTTACAAGCGCGTCTTTTCTCGACTTACCTCTTTTGCAGGAGATGATCGGAGGTCCCAAAAATTGTTTTCAGCAGAGGCTGATTTTCTATTTTAGACTCCAGTTTGCCATCAATTTCTTTTTAAGATCTTGTACCGCTGGGTGATACCGAGGAGGCAATATAGTCTCTTTATACTTTTTTGCTTTTGTTTTAAGTCAAAGTTGACCTCTGACAATAATAATAATAACTATTTATTCACAAATCCAAATCGAAAAAGTGAAAAGGAGATAAAAGAGGTTATCCCTTTCTAGTTTATCTCCTGATAATAAAATACATTAAGAAATAAATTATTTACAACTGTTTAAAATAGTAACTATATATTAAACGATGGTTGGCTCTTAAGGGCCGAAAATCATGTGCAAATGTAAAAAATGCCGAGGGATCAAGTCCATTAAGTCTATTTATTGTCTTATAACACTCGATAAGCGACGAAAATAATCTTCTTTGTTCAAGAGATGGCCATTTAAGGAGCTTTAGGCGTTCTTCGTAAGGCATGTCTTGCCCAACATTTCCAAGGGCGCATTTAGATGCTCTACGTTGTACTTTCTCCAAGGTGTTAAAGTCTTTTTTAAGGTGCGGACACCAAACTGGAGAGCAGTACTCGAGTATCGGACGTACTAGACTTTCATAAAGTTTTGAAAACAACTGAGGATTTTTAGGACCCACCGTTCGCCCAATGAATCGAAGCACACTATTTGCCTTATTTGCGCATTTGTTAGCTTGCATACTCCATGACAGGTTCGAAGTAATATAGATTCCGAGATCCTTAACTTCAGATACAGCTTTTAATTGGTTACCACATGGATGGTATTGAGGACTTGAGTAATCATTTTTTTTAGAAATGCGCATCGCTTCGCAATAACCTGACAATAGCCTGACTGTACACATGCTATCTGATGTCTATCTTGTTTAGGATACCCTCGGGCTTGGAGACGTCGTTTAAAGTTAGCATGCACTCTTCAAGTGTTTTTTTTTTGGAGAGTTTGTTCTAAACAGTCTTATTGCTTCACCTCTAATGAAACGTCTTTTCACCCCCGGAGGGTGGCACGAGGTAAAGTGTGCATCAGTTGAAAGTTTTCAGTCGGCTTGTAATTGGTTTTGATGTCCACAAAAACCACATTGAGAGTCCGTACACTAGGTCTGTCTGTAACTTCCTTCCCAAAAAAGTAACAAACTGTGCGGGTTAGATTCCTCTGTGGGTCTCTGTGCAGTCACATGTTCGGCTACTTGATATGTTTCTATTTTACAGTCAATATCCAGGTCAAACTGGAATGTGGGATTTTGGATTTTTAATGAGGGTGTACACCTGGAGAGCTTTTCGCGGACGCAAAATTTCCCACTATGTCCTCTATTGCCATTCAATCGAGGATCTTTGTGAATTCTCCTAGAGGCTACTAGGCCAGATATGCCGGTTTTAGGACCATAGCATCCACAGATTGTGCTGATACTTTGATGATATTAAGTAATGATCCGGGTAAGGTGGATAGCAATTTGTTTTGTTATGCGGCAACGGTGCTTTCCCCACATAGGAATGTTCTCATTTTTACATAGAGAATGCATAAACCTACATGAAGGCCGTTTACGCAATAAAATGCATTTACACTCCACTATGAAAGGGTGTTTTTTTGTGTTAAAAGTTTTTGACCAATCACAAGAGTTGAAAACAATAGCCAAGAAAAGTTTACAATTTTACACGTTCCCCACATAGGATTTCTTTGTTATTCAAACTGAGACCAGATTTTGTTATATGGAAGATGGTTGGAAAGTAAGGATGAATATATGTACCGCTTTATGAAGTTTTATTAACTTTTACTGTTTAAGGCAATCAGAAGTAAGAACAGACAATAGAAAAGTTAGCACCTTTTTTGCATTCTAACATGTTCGTTGCCGTTGTTGCTATCGTTCTTCTCTGGACCGTTTCTTAACATTTAGAATGATGATCTGCTATTGTGTAGTCAGCATGTTCCACATATCACCAACGTTTGAGATCTAGACTAGGTTTTTTGTGGAAATTGAGTCGTATAAATCTTTGGTTTTGATGGTTTTGTGTGCGGTTTACGGTTTTGATCGAAATCTATCGCGGTTTTACGGTTTTGGGTAATTTTTAGAGCGGGTTTTCGGCTTTTTATAGACCCCAACGCCCCCCTCGTTCTCCATAAGCCCTCTCTCCCCTTCCCTTATCATTCTTCACTAGTAAATGATAGACTTTATTATCAATCACGACTAGCTGTAAAACTTCGTATGGACTAGCTTGCGAAGCGCAAACGTATTTCCGGCCGTCGAGAGAAGCGAGGGGGGGCTAAATAAGAGATTTAATGCATTTTAGATAATGCATTTACAGCAGTTTAAAATAAAAGGAATGCAAAGTTCTATAAAACTAGGTATATGAAAGTAGTACTTTTTATTAGTAAAGGTATTAAAAAAGGGTACCTTTTCGGTTAGAAATGGTAAATAAAAGGGCAAGGCTGGGAGAAGAGGTGGGGGGCGAAGGGTTGCCCTCTCTGAAGAAGCCACCAGACCCGGGGGGTGCTCAAAAATGTTTTATACGAGGGGGTTCCGGCCTTGTCCTTTTATTTACCAGTAAAATAAAATAAATCAACATAAAATCACACTTATCTTTTGGGTTAAACTTAGGCAGAGATATCGAAAAGAATAAGAGTAGGTCTGTACGGAAGTTCACCAAAATGTCCCATGTGCCGAGATTTTGTGCCTCGGGGTTTGAAAGAGTCTGCTATTAGTCCACTATTGCCTGAGGTCGAACTCAAAGTAGAAACTTTTATAGTAACGGCGGTATCCAAATCTTGCTGTTTTAGCAGGGCCGTAACTACTACTTTCACATATCTCTGATATTTCACATATCTCTGATATAGGAGTTTTATTCCTTTCAACTGCTGTAAATGCGTTAATTGTCTTTAGAATACGACTTGACCGTTCGAAATATCGTTAATACTTTATTCGCTTTGTTCTTTAATTTTGCTGTTTTCAACAATAACAGTGTTATTACAGTTTATTTGTCGAACTCAATTCAATTCTGGATGACCTTTAATAAAAGCGATTAACGCTGTGGTTCATACGGCCGGTAACCGGTCAAGGTTTTCAAAATACTCTTATGACCGGCAGTTCTGTCTTTTCAGTCATTTCACAAATCGAAAAAATCTAGCTAAACCAAACTATCATAGGTCGATTAAGAAAAGTCAAGCGAAATGTACCGAGAATATAGGACTCTGCCGGTCATTTTGTGTTTTGAAAAGCTTGACCCGCGGCAGTCGAGCTGAAAAAGTTCTAAGTGTCACAAACATGGTTTCGTCTTCTGAGCCCAGCGTGAGCCAAACGCTATTCTTGAGATATATGTGCTTGATGAGTGCAAAAACCATGATTGTGCCCTTCTTGACAATAAGTTAACGATAATTTATACTCACCCTGTGTCGTTGGAACTCCCTGAAGAGTTGTCACCCATTTTTGCCATTTCAATCAGTAAACTTGACGGTAATCGTTTTAAAATGCAAGCCTAAAGTTTTTAACACATAGTTCCGGCGGAAAGAGCTAAAATATAGTCGTTAGTTGTTTTGGTCTGTTAACCTAGTTCTTTAGCAGTTGTCTGGTTTCAAGTTAGCGCGTAGAAAACGAGAATTAAGCAAAGTGGAGCTTGTTCATCGTGTGTATGAAACTCGATGTGCCAACTTGCCCTCGTTACACCACCAGGTGACAAGAAATTCCGCATTGTTCTACAAAATTTGTCACGCACAAAGCATGAGCCTCAACTAACAATAGACCTTGTATGTTTTGTTTTCCCATGAGAAGTCCCAGGGGAACTTGACCCTTCGTCTTCCAATAAATTGTCCGTAGATATGCAAGACAAAACTTCAACAAAAAAACAATTCTCTTTTTTATTCTGAGGACGGCCACAATTTTTGAAGGTTCTCTAATAAAGCCCCTATGATCTTCTTTAGTTTCACTCTTCCGGTTGGGTTATTTTTTTTAGAGAAAAAAATTAACGGAAACCAAAAGTTGTCGGATTAAAAAGAGGACTCACAAAAGTTCTCACTTTCGTAATATGCATCTAAATACCGTATTTTTTCGATTAAACGCCGCACCTAATCAGAGGAATGCGGCGTTTATTCGAGGATAATAAGAAAAAACTTGGTACAAATTGGTAATTTACACCATCCAGACGTTTACGATTCTATCTCAGCAAATTAAGAGTAACATTGCAACATTTAAATAACATAATAAAATTATTTTTACAAACGACCACAATAACTGTTTCCAGTGATTTAAAAAATGTGATTTCGAAATATAGGACACACTTCAATAAACGCCGGATTGGAAACGCTAAAAATCTAATAAACGCTGCGGCGTTTAATCGAATAAATACGGTATGCATTTGAAACTTTTGGAGAAAACAATACCAAAGCCCTTGCAATTTCGAAAGGACTCAAATTTTTCTAGGATGACCGAACAGATACAAGTTTTATAGTGCTCTTAGAATGCA